GAGGAAGGCAAGAAGCAGGATATAGATTCCTGGGGCACTTCAAACATTGGAGATGATAAAGAATACGAGAGAGCTGGCGTGGTAGGCTGCGGCTGTGACCCTAGGAGTTCAGAGTCATTCAGCTAGATGTCAAGTTCAAGGCCCCTCTGGGCTGTATGGGACTCTGTCTCAAAAACAAAGAAGGAATAGAGTAGGGATGTCAGTGAGCTAAATTCTCAGGTTTCTTACCAGGGGGGTTGGGCTAAAGTCAGAAGTCAAGGAGGAGGTGGGAGAGTGTATGAGCTTGAGTCATGGAGCACACACAGGAGGAAGTAGGTGAAGTTTGTCTTCAGGGAAGCTGGGTGAAAAGGAAGCGGAGCAGGAGTCTGCTTCCCTTCACTGGCTCATTCGTCTGATTCCAAAGCACCTTCCATAATCATTCAAAGGTAAAGTGGGGGTGGTGGTACTCCATGTAAGCCAGTCACGGAGAGGGTGTCTTAGAGTTACTATTGCTGTGATGAAACACCATGACCAAAATCAAGTTGGAGAGGAGAGGGTTCATTTTGCTTATGATTCCACATCACTGTTCATCACTGAAGGAAGTCAGGACAGGAACTCAAACAGGCAGGAATCTGGAGGCAGGAGCTGATGCAGGGGCCATGGAGGGTTCTGCTTACTGGCTTGCTCTCCACAACTTACTTGGCCTGTTTTCTTACAGAACCCCAGGACCACCAGCCCATGGGTGGCCCCCCCCACAATAGACTGGACCCTCCCACATCAGTCACTAATTAGGAGGATGCTCTACAGCCTGAACTTAGGGAGGCTTTTTCTCACTTGAGGTTTCCATCTCTCAGATGACTCTAGCCTGTGTCAAGTTGTTATAAACTAGCCAGTGCAGGGGCAGAGGGGCTGATCTCAGCCAGCAGCCGCGGGCTCTCATACTCTCGACCTCTGTCACGAAGCTCCTGGAAGCTGGAAGCTGGTGCTTACAGCTTATGATCCACAAGGAAGACTTGAAATATTCTCTTTGGATCATGTCCAGTCCTCGAACCATCCACGGTAGGCTAGACTAGAATTGGCTTCAGTAAGATCATGTGACCACTTGGTTTTCAGGAAGGTTAAAATATTCCAGGACCAGAGAAGAATAAACAGTCTGTGGGCCTATGAGGTGGCTCAGCAGGCAAGCACGTTTGCCATGAAAGCCGAGAGACCTGAGTTCAATCCCAGAATCCACGCGAAGGCGGAGGGGGAGATCGACTTGGTAATGCTGCTTTCTGACCTCCACATGTACCGTAGCAAGGCCCTCCTGAACAGTAACCACAGGGCACTGGTAGTGCAGGCCAGTAATCTCAGCTATTCAGATGGCTGAGGCAGGAGGATCACAAGTTCAAAGCCTGCTTGGGTTTTGGAATAAGGTCAAGGTAGGCTTGGGCAACTGAGACCTTATCTTAAAACAAATTTAAGGGCTAAGGGGCAACTTAGTGCTTGCCTAACACATGCAAGGCCCTGGGTTCAATCCCCAGCATGTACACACGCACGCACGCACACACACACACACACACACACACACACACACACACACACACACACACCAACCCCACAAGCAGTTCTCTAAGGAAGAGGTAAACTACCATGGGGAGGAGAGAATGGATGCTGTAGGGACGGAGGGAGATGTTCCTGGTACGAAGACTTCAGCACTGGCTCATCCTTCGCACCTAATGCAAAGTGTGTCAGATGTAGAGACAGAGATGAAGGCGCCACGGAGCTGTGACTGAGGACGAAGATGAAGCTCAGCCAGGGTCACGAACCACTGTGGTCCAGGGGGATGTGGAAAGAACTCTGAGGGCATTCACACAGTTCTGGGGGAGCCTGGAGATCCGAGTATGTCACCTGAGACAGCTCTACAATTTCTGGGTCTCCCCTCCGCTCCAGGTGCCTGACGACTACACAGTGGTAGATTCAAATCCCTTCTGTTCAGGGAGGGGCTTTACTCCTCTGAGCCCCTGTCCCCGTCAGTGAGATGTGACAGAAATTCCTGTACAAGCTAAGTACAGAGCTTGGCACACGTTGGCATTTCCCTCAGTCCTAGGGCCCACCCACGACATTCCGCCTTCCCTTTGCTGTAGATGAGCCACGTTCATTCCTGCTTGCTTAGGACCAAGCTATCCTCCCTAGAGGTGCTTCATTATCTGGTCTGTGGAAGGACACCAGAGTTAACCAAATGCCTAAAATCACCCGGCTGAACTAAAACTCTCAACACCCTCACCACTAGATCACAAGCTCCTCGAAGGCAGGCCGATGCCTGGTACCTCAGAGTGGACACATTTCTAGGGAATTGTGAAGTTGAACATGTGAGCAGATAGTGATATGTGAGGCCCTAGGTAGAAAACTTCCATGAAAACTCCATGAGACCACCACAGGCCCCTAGAAGCCACTCCAGTAAGCTCAGGGGTCAGCCAAGGACGAGTAGAAGAGGCAAAATGGTCCTCTACATGAGGAGTAGAAGGAGGGAGTGGGCAATGGACTCACTTCAACACATTTGTTAATCACCTGCCATGCCTCAGGCCCCTGGGCTGTGTGAGCAGCAGGCAGACCAGACACCTCCCCACCACCCCTGTGCCCCACCGAGCCTCAGGGATCTGACATCTAGGGCCTTGCATGTGAAAGGCAGAGTACCCCCGAGGAACCTGGGCTGTGCACCCCTTGGCTGCATTGTCTATGTCTTTACAGTAAAATTCAAGTAACAGAAAGTCAGGCCGTGGCAGGCTTCTTGCTAACTGTTCTTACATCTTAAATTAATCCATTTCTATAAATCTATACCTTGCCACATGGCTCGTGGCTTATCAGCATCTTCACATGCTGCTTGTCATGGCGGCGGCTGGCAGTGTCTCCTTCCTCCGCCTTCCACTTCCTAGAATTCTCCTCTCTCCTTGTCCCGCCTATACTTCCTGCCTGCCCACTGGCCAATCAGTGTTTTATTTATACAGAACGATATCCACAGCAGGCCAAAGGACAAAAATGGCCCTAGTAGCTCGGAGCTCATAATTGCCACAAGACACCGCAAGTTTCGGGGCACTGGTTCAGTGACTGGCTGGATCCGGTTCCATGCCTGGGCCTTTGCCAAGTCTTGTGGTCAGTGTGATAGTAGCCTGGGTCTGGTGGCAGGCTGGGGGTGATTTGGAGAGGGGATGGCACCATTTACTTCGTGGGAACTGAGATGGGGACTGGAGGAAGGGTGAAACGTGACTACAGGCAGCCTCAGTTCCCCCACCACACGCCCACATACCAGGCACAATCCTAATAGTCCTATGGGGTGAGACCATAGGCGTCCCCACTTCACAGGCAAGAAACCAACTCTGGGGCTGCAGACCTTGCCAGCATCATCCCCGACAGGTGGAGCATGAGGGAGCATCAGCTTCCCCGTTAATGGGGAGGATACAGCTGAAATACACTGAGGGTGAGAGCGGACTTGACTAACCACACCCAGTAGAGGGAAGGGATGTGACCAAGAGACATCATTGCAAATGACGTGGGCAACCCTCTGTGTCCCCTCTCCACCTCACACCGGCAGCATGTCCTCCACAGAGGGTCATTTATTCGTCTTTCTTTACACCCATCTTCTGTTGAAGCAGTGCAGCATCGCCAGGCCACCTGTGTTTCCTGGAAACCCGAGGCTTTCGCAACAGATCGAACACCAAGGCTACCCTCCTGTCTCTCCGTGCTCAAAGTTCATCCCGTGATGAACTCGTCACACGGTTGGATCATGTGCTGTGGCCCCTTTGGTCACCTTCTGGGAGCCCATCCATGTCCTGGACTGCTGTCTAATGGGGTCAGACTTTTGAAAAACAGCAGATCACCTTCAGTTATGAGATTCTATGGGTGTCCCACAGGATCCTCAGTCACACCAGAACAGCCACGGACTTGACTGACAGATGGAACTGAGGTGCTCTGAGGCAACAGGTAAGATATATGCTACACATCTGTGCCACAGTTTCCCTTGTAGTCCCTCCCTCCAGAGCTGGAGTATGCACATGTGGGATGTAGAACAAAGCAAAATAGGTTGGCCATGGGTCTTGCCTTTGGGTCTCTATGTGTGATGTCATGGAACAGCCGTATTAACCAGGGCTCTTCCAGGGACAAGCTGGCTTAAGTGAAGACAAACTGGCTCACAAAACTGAAAGGTCAGTGGGACCTGAACTCTCCATGAGTTCAAAGCCAGCCTAGTCTACATAGTGAGTTCCAGACCAACCAGAGCTACATAGTGAGACCTTGTCCAAACAAACCCTGAAAGGTCTTTACTTTGGACACTGTTGGAAACAAGGATCTCAGAAAATGGCCCAGGGAGTTCACAGGTAGGGACACAGCCTCCTTCATTCCAAGGGTTTAGCTATGCAGAGACCAAAAGAGAGTTGTGGCTGCAGCAGCTATGGGAGAGTCAAAGCCGGAATGATCAGCCTGACCTCTAGATGACCAGGAGGAACCCGTGACCTGTTGGTGTCAACCAAAAAGAAAAAGGTTTTGTGTCTGTGGCTGGAATGACAGCAGCATGAGTTCTTCTCCCTGTGGCTTTCTCTCTGTGGCTCCAGTGGAGTTCGGGTGTGGGGTGGGGATGGCGTGGCTTGGATGGAGCTCTGTGAATCCACGTGGAGAGAAGCATCTGGAGAAGGGATTCTGGCTCTGGATGTACGTCCAATCAGAGTTTCCCTGGGGTTCACAGTGAGAATAGGAATCTCACTGAGCTTCCCAGTTACAGGTGAAGACCAGGGCCACAGGCCATTCCTCCTGGCAGCCATGTGGCTGGGCACCAGGAGACTGTGAGCTGCTTCCCCATGTGGTCCTGAACCCCTTTAACTAAGCACACCCAACACTCAGCCGCTCTTCAGCTGCATCGCCACCCTCCCTGGGTTCCCTGTGCCAGTTGTATGACCTTGGCCAAGTCTTTCTACCTTCTCAAACCCATTTCCTCAACTGGAGAGCGAACCTGCTGTCCACATGCAAACATACACCCAAGAAACGATATCTGAACATGCAGAACAGCTTTATTCATATCAGTCAAAATCTGGAACCAGCCTTCATATGCCAGATGGTTAAACAAACGGTGGTTGTACCCACATGGCATGCTGCTGCCCGGCCTACAACAGAGTGGATGGATCCTGATGCACATGGAAGGATGAATCATGAAAACACACTAAGAGAAACTAGACACGTAACAGACACCGTGTGACCATCCGGAGAAGACAAGAATCACCAGGAAAACAGGTCAGTGGCGGGCCACGGCTGGAGGGCTGACCGTCAAGGGATCGATGGAGCTTTTAGGGCAGGTAACAATTATTCCAGTCTGATGGTGACAGTTACAAGGGTGTGTTGTTCCTGAAAAAACTAGGAATCGTACACTTAACCCTGGTGAATTTTGTTGCGTGTAAAGGAAGGAACAGCTCAACAACGCTGTTCTGAGGAAGGAAGGTAGGAAACCACAACCTATACTAGGAGCCCTTCTGTAACACAAACCCAAGATGAGTTCGTTTTAGAAAAAATACATTGGCTCATATAATCAGGTCAGTCCAACTGTTGGCTTCAGGGACTTGCTGGGTAGCAAGGAATAAGTCCACATGGCATAATCTGTGTTTTCTTTCTTTCTTTGTTGGTTTCATCCTCAGCTGCATCAGTTGGTCACCAGCAATTCCAAGCTGACATCTTGTCAACTTAACTCCCATGAAAAGATGCAGCTGAAGTCCCACTGGGGAGAGTGGGAACTCAGCAGTCTTTGTCTAGGCCTGGAACACATGCCTACCCCTAAAGCCAGGGATGGTGCTGGCCCTACCTGAACCCTGGGGAAACAGAGTAAACAATATCTCAACAGAAACAAGGTCCGTGGAAAACTAACCCATCCCTCTACCTATCCAGTGTACCATGCTCTTACCCATTCCTATGTCTAGACAGCTCTGCAATGGCCAAGCCCTGGGGAATGGACCCCACCTCCATCCAGGGTTGCTCTCCCGACACAGGAGTCAAAACAGGAAAGCCAGATGGGCATGGTGGTACACAGCTATAATGCTAGCACTCTGGAGATGGAGGCAAAAAGGATTATGAATTCAAGCCCACGCTGGACTACATAGCAAGATTCTGTCTCAAAAAAAGGGGCTGGGCATGTACCTCAGTGATAGAGCACTTGCCTAGTATGTCTAAAGCCCTGAGTTCAAACTCTAGGACCAAAAAATAAAAATAGGATGGCAGGTTAGTATTGCTTCTCCAGCAGTCAGGCAGACCCGGAAGCTGCTGGGTGCCTGTCCCCAAGACATTTGGCAGGGCAAGGAGGAGCTGTGCAGAAGCCACGGGCCTAAGGCAGAGCCCTGTAGCTGTGGGAGTCTGAACTTGAAACTCCCAGGGGAAGGATACCTCCTTAGGCCCTGGGCTTCAGTGACCCAAACCTCAGGGAACCCAGGGCAGAGGCAAGGACTGCCCCTCAATCCAGAGTCATCAGCCCCCGGTTCAGGCAGGGCCAGAGGCCAGATAAGAAACTGTCAGGAAAGATCATCTTGCAGGATCAACAGCAGAAGACGCCATCCACCGTATGAAGACTCAGACGTCACCTCCGGGTCAGGCAGTGCAATGACCCTCCCAGGGACCAGCATTTCCCGCACAAGTGTCCTGCAAGGGAAAAGAAAGGCAGAAACAGTGTCAGATCTATATGCAAAACAGTCTACAGAGGACTCTGCAGCTATCAAATGGGCAACAGGCCCAGAGAGGACCCAAGCCTCCCCAAGGCTGCCCTTGATCAGACCCCAGGACCTGCGCTCAGAGCTCTTGCTTCCACTGTGGCAGGGGTTTGTGGCTCGGGTCTGACAAGGCAACCGGGGGCTTCCTCTTAGCCCCACTACCCAGGCCAGAGCCCATGCTGTGTAACTCCTCCACTGAGGTGTTGGCCGAGTTGGCCTGCGCAGCCCTTTTCTTCTGGAAAGCAGGCTTCGTGGACGCCATTGCCAAGAGTGTGCACTCTGTTGCAGAGGCGGTTGGGTGGAGAGAAGGGCATGAGGCAGACTGAGGAGGGGAGAGGGCCTGTGCCAAGCTGGGCAAGAATGGCTCACTCGCTCACTCGGGGCCGCCCCCCCCCACACACTTTTAAAGGAAGCCTGAGGGCCTGGCCCAGAGCCCAGGGGCTCCAGGAAAGCGGTGTTCTCGACTCCCATCCGCCAATTCCAAGGCAGGCAGGCTGGCTGTCCGGCTCTGCAGACCTTCTGGAAAACAGCTAACCACTTCCTGGAGCTAACAATGCATCCATGGTCAGCTCACTGTACTGACGGCCAACTCAGCTAGTCCCGAGGCTGTGCTTCTGGGGCTACTTGGAAGTGAAGAAGGGACAGCCTGCCAAGGACCATGACACCCCAGCACCAGGGGCTTTCCCTCCACACAAGCCCCAAGCACAGCTATGTTCCTTCCTGGTTGTCCCTAAGCAGAGAAACGGCAGCTGTCACCCAGCAACAGATGACTGTACCCTATCTAGAGCTTGGTAATAGTGTGACCGACTGAATGGCAACCGAGGATCCAGGCCCGTGCACACTCGCCCTCTGGAAGTTAACGGAAGTGACCCACCCTCCTGTGGGTCAGACACCTGCTCCCACCCACCTCTGGACATTACGATCGAGTGGTTGCTAGTCAGTACTACACTAGGGGGCTGGAGAGGTGTTCCGTTTCCAGCACCCACATTGGGCAGCTTACAGTCACCTATAACTCTGGTTCCCAGGGTCTTGACTGTCTCTTCTGGCCTCTGTGAGCACCAGCATGCACATGGCACACATACATACATACATACAGGCAAACACAAACATATTTAAAAATGTACTAGGCTTCTTATATACTAAAAATGACTATCACTATTATTACAGAAATGCCGCTGATCTTGGAGTCAGAACTGCAGATGTGAATCACGGCTCTGCCGTTTCTTGGCTGGGTCCCCAGGAAGAACCCTGATCACCTTAGCCTGCCAGAGGCAAGAGGTCCCATCCTCCAAGGGGTTCTCCCCAGCAGAGTTGGAGGGAACATCTTCCTTCCCCTCTGGCGGGCTTGTAGCCTGAGAGTTCCTCCTGGCTGCTAAACAGAACACAAAGGCAAGCAAGAAAAAGCCACCAGCAAGCCAAGGTACCTACCCCAGGTTCCTCTTGATCCCTACAACTCTGATCTGGCTTGCGTCACAGGCCCCTATCACTCCTTAAGTCAGCGGTTCTCAACCTGTGGGTTACAACCCCTTTGGGGGTCCCATATCAGATACCCTGTGTATTTACAGTAGCAAAATGACAGTTATGAAGTAGCAACGAAAACATTTTATGGTGGGGGGGGGGCGTCACCCCAACATGGGGAACTGTATTGAAGGGTCACAGCATGAGGAAGGTTGAGAACCACTGCCTTAAGTGATTCAAGGGTCAAAAAGCCCTGACAGCTATCATGTCAAGGACATCGTCACTGAGGACCTCACCTCAGATTCCCTCCAGCAAGATCGCAAGATCTCCCGAGTTCCTGGCTGGAAGGCAGCAGTGGCCCTGCATAGCCACCTCCTCCTTGAGGAAAAAGAAAAGAAAGAAAAAGAAATCCGGGCTCCTGAAGGCACAGCCCTGTGGCTCACTGGGTGAGAGGCCTGGCTCCCATAAAACGGCCCTCTCTGGCTCACAGGTGCTTGCCCTGTAAGGTTGACAAACCTGAGCTCAATCCCAGGAACCCCTATGAAGAAGAAAAGAGAAACAGCAATACACTTTTAAAAGGCGCCAGCAAGATGGTTCGGCAAGTAAAGGCACTGACCACCAAGCCTGATGGCCTAAGTTTGATCCCTGGAGACCTACAGGTAGTCCTCTGACCCCCATGGGTGCCCCACAGCATGTGCCCCTCCCCCACCGATGAAAGTCCCCATCCTGTTAACGGGGTGGGGCCAGAAGGAAGGTGTGAAGACAGGGCTCACAACAGACAAGTCAGGCACGGGCATTATGAGCCCTGTTCCTCCCTTCGATGCATGCCCGACAGCATTTGAGAGCAAGTCTCGTGTTTTCAAATGCTCTATGGTATTTGAACGCACTTGGGAAGCAGAGGCAGGTGGATCCCTGTGAGTTGGAGGCCAGCCTGGTCTACACAGTGAGACCCTCTCTTGAAAAAACAAACAACAAAAAACCCACCTGATGTATGTTGTCTTTGTGTGTGTATGTTCGTGCTCATGTGTGTGGAGGCCAGAGGCCCACCTCAGGGTGCCTTCCTCAATCGCTCTCCACCTTATTCTTTGACAGGGTCTCTCACTGAACCTGGATTTGGCTAGACCAGGTGGCTGGCTGGTCGCACAGAACCGTCTCTGCCTCTCCATGTGAGCTCACAGGTGAGCCGCCGCGTGTTCAGGATGGGACCCGCGACAAGACAAGCATCTCCCCAGCCCTGCACTGTGGTAAAGAATGGGGACCATGGGAGGGAACGAGGAGGTTTGGGGCAGGGACCGGCAAAGAGGCTCCAGGGGAGGTAGGTGGTGACCGAAGTTAGCAAAAGCCAGCAAAGCTGTTAGAGCTGAAGGAACAGCTGTCACCCGTCCATCCCAAGTGTGAGAGTCTCACTCATCTCTCACCAGCAAGAGCAAATCCTGTCTAGCCTTTACCCGGTGAGATGCCAGCAGTTAGCTCCTGAACAAACCCATCTCTAGCGGAGCTGGAGGCACAGAGTCCACAGACCCAGGGCTGGCGGGACAGTCATGGTGGTCCAGCGTACACCAAGCACCCACACCATCTTGTCGCTGATGAGTGCTTCCAAGCTGGCTCCTGAAGACATCTTGAAGATGACTGTCCCCTGCTGACGTGAGGTCCTCGAGATACTGGGTGACTTGCTGTAGCAGGCCCCATGATGCTTACTGCTCATTCATCTGTCCATCCGAGGACAAGCCACCAGTCCAGCCTCAGCTGGCTTTGACTTTTGGTGACATCTCTGTGGCTTGGTAGTGGTAGGGAAGAGGAGCATGTCACAAAATGTTGGAAAGGCCCAGGGTAGTAGCTTGACTATCTACAATCTCAGTACTTAGGAGGCAGAGGCAGAAGGACCAGGAGTTTAAAGCCAATCTTGGCTACACGAGATCCTGTTTAAAAAAAAAAAAAAAATGACTGGATTAAAAGCAGGCATGCTGCTTTGCAGCCCCCTATCCACACCCAGAGGTCCCCAAGTCAAAATACATGTAGGGTGGGGCTGGAAAAGGTGGGGGCACCGAGTGAACATGGAGGTGGTCTCTGAATTAACGGGATAGAGAATGTCCACCTAAGAATAGGTAAGTTCTGTGATCACAGCAGAGGGGAAATGCCCAGATCAACATCTCAGAGCCTCTTCACTGAGGCTTTAAAAAAAAAAAAAAAAAAAAGAAAAACAAAAACAAAAAAACCAGTTCCTACCCAGGTACCTGCCCCACTTCTCAGGAAACAGGACGGGGAATCCTGCAAGACATCTACCTCTTTCCCCAACAACTTTTACCTCATATGAAACAGGGATGTCCCCCAGCCCTTCCCACCCACATACTACCTCCCCCAAAAGTGAACATGTATGCAAGTGAATGTGTGAGCCACATTAACTGTTTCAATAACCAGCATGTCCCCATCCCTCCTCATTTGGGGAGTGGGTAACATTCCAATCTAACAACAGGAAGTTGCTTCCATCCTAGAAGGGCCAGGTGGGCAAGGGCTGGGTTGGCCGCCACCACAGCTGCCCGATGCACACTGCAAGAACAATAAGGATTTTTAGGGGCATTATGACTGAGTCAGAAAACACAGCTGCCCCTGAAAGTCCCTCATTTTTCTTGCTGTCCTTGAACACGCGCCAAGTAAGGTGGTCGGTCATCCAGTTGGCCCAGGTGAGGAGAGGTAGAGACGTTGGTCCCTTACCCAACCCTAGCCCACTGACCCCCAGTCAATCAATCCAGAACCCAATTGGTGAACTCTGCCACAGAGATCCAGGGATTTGAACTAAGGGATGTGACTCTCACAGGTGGATATGGATCCACCCTGGGGCAAATGGGTCTTGGGAGTCAAGGGAGGGTCTCGGGTCTGATATGGCTCAGGAAGAGGGGTTTCTAGCCTATTCCGGACAGGCCCCTGCTGATTCAGGAGGGAAGGAAACCAGTCCAGGAACCCTGGAGCCAGTACTGTGGAAGAACGGTCTTCAGGTGTGAGCCTGAGGAACAGCAGCTGGGCTTTGCCCTGCTTTTCTAACAGTGCTGCAGCCTGGGGTCCCCTGCAAAGAGGGTAAAGGAACTTTCCCCACCGTGACAGCTCCCACCAAAAAACAACAACAACAACAAACCCAAAGAAGACAAGCCAGGCAAGGAGTCGCAGGTGCAGCAAGAGTTCAAGGTCAGCCTTGGCTACATAGTGAGCTGAACACCAACCTAGGCTACATGAGACCCTGTCTTAATATGGAACCCACAAACCAGGGGCTGGAGAAATGGCTCAGTGGTTAACATCGCTTGCTGTGCAAGCAGGAGACCAGAGTTCAGAGCCCAGCATCCCTGTCACGAGTCAGACGTCCCACAGACACCTGTAACTCCATCTCCGAGGGATCCTTCTTGCCACCAGGCATGCATCTCTGCACGCACACACATAATCTAAAAAAAGGGAATGAGATAACTTCTCTATCACTGAACTCAGGACTGCTAGTGGAGGCATACCATCAATCACAGGTTGTCCTGAGACTGAGTAACACAAGTGGCTATGACACGAGGACGTGGGGGGAGGGGTGGTGCAGGCTAGCCCTCTGGCTTCTCTGTTGCACCCTGCCCTACCTTTTGCACACAGTACAGAGCTTCAGGTGGGCCTGTGTATGAAGGTGGATCCACCAAACAGTGGGCAAAGACAGACTTCTGGAATGTACCACACATTTTTAAACTGTGGAAAACTGACTCAGCAGGGAATTGTAGGCTTTGAGAGGGTGGAAGGGTAATAGAAAATGGCAAAAAGAAGAGGCCAGTAACTGCCTCGCCCTGCATCTTGTAGGAAAATGGAAAAAAAAAAACAAAAGCAAACACCTTTCAGGGCCAATGAGATGGCTCAGCAGGTAAACACACGTGGAGCACAAGCCCAGTGGCCTGAATTCAACGCCCAGAACCCACGGTGGGAGGGAACACACTACTGGAGACCGTCTTCTGCCCTCTGCAAGGATACACGTGCATGTGCACACACTCTCCGCCACCATACACATCATAAAAGTGTAAAATCTTCCAGAATCAGGGTCTTATTCAGGATACTCTTTAACAGGATGGTTTCCCCCATTTCAGGCCTGGGGGAACCACCTGACAACAGACGGTTAACTCCCAGCACCAGGCTGTAACCCTTGGAAGATCCAAACAGGCCCCATTCCACAGAGCCTGGTCTTTGACTGAATGCCATTCATCAACAGGACACTTGGTTCCTGGTGGCAGGCCATTCTACCCAGGTTCCCAGCAAGGCTAGAATCTACCCCACTGGCCAATGGGAGTCTATCTTAGCCAGCTAAGATAAGTTCTATGGGTCCATGAGCTCTGTCTAGTACACAGGACACTTTCCTCTCAGAACACTGTGGCCCATACTGGTAAGGAGTGCATCCCTGAGAACGACAGAGACCTACACCTTCCTCAATGTGTGACTGCAGATTATTTTGCTGCCTGGCTGTCTTTTGTATCTGTCGACAGGAATAATAAACTTTACTTTGCATGGCAATGTGAGGTTAGAAAGAACCAAAGTAGACAAAGTGATTGGCAGGTTCAAGAAATACACTCCACTCTGTGCCGAGGGCTGGGCAGAACTGGGAGAACTCTTGCCCACTAAGAGGACTGGGGCTAGGGGTCAGGTACGCCCTACTGTGCCCCAGCACTGCCAATATACCTTCTTCCCCATGTTCCAGGTCCCTTCCATGCTCACACGGAGAGAAGCAAGCCCAGCTCCTGTCTTGCCTAACTGTATCTAACACTTGCCCAGAGCTTCCTGCCCTGACCAAGATCATAGCCATAAAATCCATTAGTAAATCAAAAACCCAAATGGCCCCCAAACACTAGGATCTAAGTCATCTACACCTCTGAACATGACCATGTCATGCTTTGTCTGCTAAGAAGCCCATCCCCACAGCTCCTGCAGCCTGCTCGGGCTACCTGCAACCTCACCTACTAGCCACAGAAGCCTAGGATGGCACTTCCCTCCTGGAGATTTAGGTTTGAGCTTGTGAGACTTGGGTCTGCCCATCTCACAGGCTGTCTGGAGGAAACCTCCCCCCTCCCAAAAAAAAGACATTTGTGTAAGGGACTCAGAATTGTGCCCTCACTGAAATGGTTTGGTCAAGACCAGCCACCATCACCCATCCTCCCTGCTCTGTGCGTCAAGGCTTAGCTCACCGTTTCTGGGTGACCTTTCTTGGCCTCAGCCCGTGCCTGGGCTAGAATCTTTTTCTGCTCTACTGCCTGAACACACATCACACTGTGTGACACTATGCCTCACTGTTGGTCCACCCCATCTGAAAATGGTCCAGAAGCACCTTCATCACCATCTCATGAGGATGCCTGGAATTTTCATTGACAACAGTCTCCGCTGCAATTCCTGGAAGTCCTGAATTTTGGTGCAGGCGCTCAAAACCAAGGCAGGGTCTGACCCCTGGCAGTGGTTAGAGGAACACGCCCCTACTAGCCTACGCGACACCTCTAGGCCTGGCTTTGCCACTACCGAACACTGGCCACCCAACCCAGTGCCACTAGCCTCCCCAAAGTCCTCACTCTGTGTAGGCCCATGCTGGGCACAAATTCTTGACTGAGTTGGCCCACGCCTGCCTTCTAGGGCTGATGACCCACACTGAGGCTTACAGGGAGCTGGAGGGCGGGGACATTCCCATCAAACAGAATCCCTAAAATAGCCAGTCACCCACAAAACCATGATAGAAGGGAAAGAAAAACCAACTAGATATCAGCCCTTGTTTGGAATGCGATGTAGAAGGAAAACTATGTACCAGCCCCACCCTGGCTGGAAAGTGGTCCAGGCAGAGGGCGCCAGGCCCAAGGAGTCATTCGGGGAACCTGTCCTACAGAGAGAAGCCCCTGGGGCAAGGGCTAGCCCTACAGAGGCCAGGTTTGCAGGGCAGGGGGCAGTTGCCTACAGCTCCTTCCAGCTATCCTAAGGAGTCAGTTCCAGGCCAGGAGGCTGTGGAGGAAGGGGGGGGTCAGAGGGTCAGAGGCTCTGCTGGATTTCATCCTGGGCTGCAGTGAAGAGTCTTTTTGGCCCTTCTGGCCTCTGATGAACAAGCCAGGAGATCTAAAAGCCATCCATCAGAGCCGCTGGCTTTATGATAACCAACCTCTCTGCCAGAAATTCTTTTGGTAAGAACACTCACTTTCAGAGCCTTGGCTCCTCCTCAGCTCCCCCAGCAGCAGGGCTGTCTGGCCTGTGCTGATGGTTGGAACACCATGGGGCACAAGCTCAGCGCCCAGAGGGTGAAGACCCAGGTGCCTCTCAGCACAGCTGGAACTGGGCCTAGATGTACTTTCCATATACATACACACATCTGCTCCCAAGCCCAGTGCAGGTCACTCATGTTTCCAGACCAGTGAGTGCATTACGGATAGATGTAAAAATCCTGTCAAGCCTTTACATGGGTTACCTAAGGATCCAAATGGCACAAAGGTGCTTTACCCGCTGAGTCATCTGTTTCTAGAAAGTGTTATTAGAACATAGGTGTGCTCATCCACTGATACATTTTCTATGGCTGCTGTCAGGCCGAAATAACAGAAGACTAGAGACGTTCCTCAACTTCCATGTGATCATGCCAGTCACCTATCAGAAGTTAAGGGTATCATAAGATGAAATGTGTGAGAGACACCTAACCTACTGACTTCCTCGCTTAGCAACAGCACACTGCAGAGGACGGGCTGCTGCTGCTTTGAGATTATGGGGCTGGCTGGATGCTGCAGCTCACGGCCACTGTCCAGCACTGTGACGGAATCACACTGCACATTGTTAGCCCAGGAAAAGGTCAGAATTCTAGGGGCAGGGCTGGAGAGATGGCTCAGCAGTTAAGAGCACTCGATGCTCTTAGATAAGCCAGGTTTGGTTCCTAGCACCCACATGGCCCAACTCA